TGACTGAATGCGAGCTTGGTATTTTTTAGAGGAGGTAGAAGAGGTGGTTTCCGTGAAGAGTGTATTACGTGCATCGAGCAACATGGCTGCTGGCAGTGTGAATTTAGTTTCCGGTTCATTGTGCTGCACAATTGCTCTAATGAAGTGCATTGTATGGAAGATACGGGCGACGTCTGTACACCCCTGATACTGTCCGTGAGTCTTGGTATAGGGATTTTGTCTTTTTACGGTTTATCTCGCGCCAGGATCTCTTGCAGCTGCCGTCACACGGCTAGACTCGTTTTAGTTCAGAAATCAGTCAGTGCTGCAGTGAAGCATGTGTCCGGATGATCATATTTTTAGCCTAATGAAAATAGGTTATGTCCATGTGTCTGTCTCCCCTCTTCCAGTAACTTTAGGATCAGTTTATGGATTTTCATTCTTTGTACATTTTCGTTTGCTACTGACATTAATGCCAATATGGCTGCCGCGCAAATCTGTGAGATGAAAGTGACACTAGTGCCACTTCATATAGGATCCTGAAATGTAGATCAAAAAGAATTTCTAGCTTCTTACGAGGCTCCTCTTACAGGATTGAGCTGGCCGTGGAGGTCTGTGGTTTCAGTGTCGTTAAATGTTTTGATTCTAGCACTAAGTGTGTTAGTGCCAACCAGAGACTGAATGTTTTGACCAAGTTATTACAACTTCTGCGTCATATTTTTAAGTTCAGGGTTAAAATTGTTTATGCTGACTGAGTTTTTCTGTGGTTTTCCTCAGTTCCTTCAGGCTGATTCAAGCGTAGTAGCTGAAATTTGGTTACAACTGCTTCATTTTATATCCTTTCTGATCCATCATTATTGTGTGACCAAAATAAATATAACAGTAAGTTATAACATGAAGTTTATATTGAAGCAGACATATTCATAATAGGAGAGAATAGTGTTTATGAATGAGATACCATTTATAGGCATTGAAGGGGTTTATTATCCATGTTGGTTACCGAGGTGAAAATCATTTTCTGTTGCAGGTGTCGATGATGTCCACAGACGGGACAGGTATGACCCCCACACCCCACATAAAAAAGGAAGAGGACCCTGCCAGCTTCCAAGCGTGTTCCCCATCCAATAGCAACATGTACTCCCCCACCACTACTGTCCTGCATAATGATGTAAGTACCTGCTTTTTTGTTGCACAAATTAATGTACATTGTAGATAGTATCCTTCTTTTTTTCGGTTTAACAAATGTTTATACGTTTTCCAGTACCCTTTTACGGGTCCCCGACTTTTTTTCGTTGGCTCGATCTATAGACATTCGGTAGGACTCCTTGGACGAGGGATCGGCCCGTCGCAAGGCCTCTATCTGTACACAGGACAGCACAACAGAAAAACGCGGACAGAAATCCAGGGTTTGAGTGGGATTCGAACCCGCGGCACAAGGCCCACGCCTCAGACCGCGTGGCCACTGCGGATCCCGTAAATAGTATCCTAAAAGCATAAATAGCACAATTTTCACACCACACAAGTTTTGACTGTGGAGTCAAATTGCTAATTTCAAGTTTGTGTTACGCTGAGTTTGATGTTGGTGGCTTCAAGTGGTACAGTAAATAGTAGCTCAGAGAAGTATTGCCGTAATGAGATGGTGTAACCAGGCCTCTGGTCGTCTGCCGTCTTTGTCCCTCTTCAGTCATGTGAGTGCCTTAGGCAGGCAAAATGTGCCAGCGTATTGAGAGGAGATTGTGTTTCCATCCGTGATCTCTGGAAGAATTTCTTCTCCCGTCTTTACGTTTCTGGCTTTATTGATGACTGTTTCGCTGTTGTACAGCGTGCACAATACGTGCATGATTCTACAATAGAAAAATAATTTCCCATCCTGGGTTTAAGCTGACAGTGTTGGCAAGCCTGCCCTAAAACTAGAGTTAATATTACTTTGTGAATAGGAGACACATTACTTGTTAATTATATTTCAAGGTTGTACAAATAAACTGGTTTCGTGTCATGTAAACATATTTCCTCATCTCTGCTCGTTTTCACGATGTTGATCGGAACTTCCATTGACAGCATCTTTCAAAATGTTGTTTGCATTATTATCATATATGTTAATGTTACTATTCTTCCATGTTACAGTGGGTTTCACAAGCCCAGAAGATATCACTCGTTATCTAGATTTCATTTACGTTATGACTTTTATCGTCAGGGTGGACTTATTTTACACACATGGCAGTGATTTAAAAGACGAAAGTTTGCATTTTTGTTTTACTGATGTCAGATGTCATTATATGAACATTTTGTCGGATATTACCCATTGGCTGAGGTATACCCGTATTCTAGTCGTCAAGTGATTGGTTGACATTATCCTGACAATCTGTTATATTATATTTTGCCATCCTGTTGTTCTGAGTATAACCTGTCCTGGGAAGAATACCATCTTACACACAACCAGGTAAGAACTACATAAACACAGAAGAAGGCAGTGGCAAACCACTTCTGTATCACCTGCCTAAAAACATATGAACAGGATCCTGTAAAGGAGACGGCGTAATAAAGAAGAAGGTGACAGTTGGAATTGAGCTTCGTAATTTGTACTCTTCACCGAATATTGTTAGAATGATCAACTCGTAGAGGGTTAGATGTATGGGGCATTAGCGTACCTTAGAGGAATTTAACAATGCATACGTTTTGGTCAGAAAATTTGAAGGGCAGAGATTGTGGACCGGATTCAACTGGCTTAGGATAGGGTACAGTGGCTGTTCTTAAGAAATACATCTGTGAAACTTTAAGTTCTATAAAAGGCGATGAATTTCTCTTAGAAGGACATCTGTTCTGTAGCAGCAGTAATAGCGGGAGGTTTATAGGCACATTAATTCCTAAGGCTGTTTGCTTCTACTAGTAAACACAGTTCCAGTGAGGGGTGTAGGTGATTCGGTAAGCATCTGCAAGGTACATCTGATATATAAGCCCAAAAAGGACTTGTGTTCTGCGCGTGCACACACACACACACACACACGCACATTGTGTGATTGGACTGTGTAGAGGCTTCTTCATGCTTGATGAAAGATTCTTAGAGTTAGTTAACTTATTAATGTGATTTGTAATAGAAATGAATCTCTCTCGCATGCAGATGGAGTACTGCGAGAGCCAAGATTCACGGAGATATGAAGTTTCACAGTCCAGGTCTCCAGGCAGTCCCGATCGACAATACTGTTCCTCCACCACGCAGCCGCTGGGTGACTCCATGCTCGGCCATGCAGAGGTAAGTCTGAAAGGATGGATGATAAATGATTTGATTGCCAGGTTTCAGTGGGGGAATTGGGATTGAAGTTTGAGTGTAGTGAGATTTGTGATTTGGTAATGAAGGTTTAGTAATCACATAATATTTGAAGCTTTTACAGCAACAGAATGCAGTGAACTCTTTTCTTAAGTGATCAGCTGCGTGAGAATGGAGTTAATATTTAATGTTTCGTAGACTGTCTCTCCGTCCATCATCAGAGTTGATGTGATGACGATTCTCAGAAGGCAAGGCTTCTTCTCTTGCACTACAGCCCTTGGTGGGCTCTGGCATCCTGAACAATATGTCCCCATCTCTTCCTATCTTGAGCTACCTTCTTCCGGTTGCTCATCTGCAGTTTCTGACAGTTTGCCAACTTGTAGCATTGTTTGCCATTCTCAAATTATTTGCCTTAATTCGTTGCTTAGTTCGTCGTCTTTCATACCTATTCCGAGGCCTATTATCGGGTTTCTGGACAATGAAATATTTTCTGGGGGTCAGGTCGTCAGCCTGATGCCCCAACCCCCAACCTGGAGGACCAATGGGCTGCTCTTTGTCTGGTCCCTGCCCTTCGACCTGTCTGGCTTGGGTGACCCTACCAGGAGCTTAAACTCCCACCAACATAGCTCTCAGGGTCCTAATGGGACACACAAACCTTCCTGCCACGGTAAGGCAGCAGCCCTTGATTGAAAAGCTATCACTATTAATAGTTTGCATTTCGATTAGATAATACCATTCTGTGAAACACCGAGCATGTGCAGCGTGTTTAACACCTGTTTTACAGTAGGTGTTTGTCTGAAAATTCCAGAAGTACCTCTAATTCTTCTGTACTCAGACTGCTTATATTTGTATTTGCGCGGTGAACAAAAAGCAAATAAGCCAGTAGTCACGTGCAAACAAATACTTTCATTAAATACAGAGGTTTGGTTTCTGGACTTGGACATTTTGACATTCTGTGGAGCACTTGTGACAACACCATGAGTTATTGGATCATGGTGGCCCTTATTTCACAATTGTTTGAGATTGACATAATTTTCAGTCATTGTAGGAATGCTATACGTTTCCGTTTTTGACATAGTATGAGTCTGAGAGTCCTCTCAAGTTACATGTTAATTTTTTTTTCAGATTAGTACAATGTATTTTAAGAAAAGCTAGAGCAATGAACTTGCTTTTATTCTTCTTCTTCGTCTTCTTCTTCTATGGCTCTCCGGTCCGTATTCGGTCCATGGCCTCCTCAATTCTCCTCTTCCATTTGGTCCTCTGTTAGGTCCGTCTGTCCGAGGCTTTGATCGAGGCTTCAAAACATCTTCCTTTTTACGGTGCAAAGTTGTTAGCCTTGCGACCAACCCCCATCCTGGAGGACCAGGGTACCTGTCTTAGTCTGACCTCTCCCCCTTGACCAATCTGGCTAGGGAGGCCCTACCAGTAGCTATGCTACCACCAGCTTGCTTTTATTAGTTCTGCAAAAAAAATTCCTACTTTTTTCTTAACACTGCCACAATAAATCTGATGAACTCGGAACATATACTGTCTTGGATGTAGACAAAATTCTGGTTGCTTTTAGATAAAGATCCATTCAAGATTGCTAGCTAAACTGTTTCTGTACATTCTGAAAATCTTATGGATTATGCTGCTATCTGGTGGAATGGAAGGTGCCAGGTCCGATGAAATGCAAGTGGAGGACTGAGGTAGTTATAACATTTACCATCTGAGTGTGCATAATGCGCACCTAAGGACACTGATCAGTGATTATGGAGCAATGGTGAAATGGTAACTGACAAGGAGAGACTGAAATACCTGCCACTTTGTGTCCCAGAAATCCCACATTATTTTGAACTTAATCTTCTGCAACAACAAGCTTGTATCCAACTCTGTGTACTGTGGAACAGCCACGTACTATGAGGCATCCATCTTGTGGGCTGTTACTTCTAGTCGTGCTACCTATACAGTTTTCTGTCACTGGACTATAATACGTAATACTTTATCTGTAAAATGCTAGTGATTGCAATTTATGGTATACTCATTTGGATGAAGGTTTTTAAATTTGCTTAATAATCCATTAGCGTCTTAGATTATTGAAGCTTTGCTCCCTAAATGTAATGGCTGTCATTATTGTTGTCCAGTACATTCTTGAAATGTTCTAACAGTTTTAGTTGTTTATGCTGTTGTGATGAAGTGAAGTGCGTTGATAAAGAATGGGTTTTGTTGCGTGTGTAAAATGTTTGAGTGGCAAGAATCACTATTGTGCTTCATATTGTAATGTATCATCACCCTGATGACAGAGGCAGTCTGACCTCTGAAATGTTGGTTAACATCGACCAGACTACACAGTGCAACAACCCAGAAGACAGAAATCTTCATACTCTGATGACAGAGGCAGTATGACCTCTGAAACGTTGGTTAACATCGACCAGACTACACAGCGCAACAACCCAGAAGACAGAAATCTTCATACTCATCGCCCTGATGACGGAGGCAGTATGACCTCTGAAACGTTGGTTAACATCGACCAGACTACACAGCGCAACAACCCAGAAGACAGAAATCTTCATACTCACCGCTGCGAGAACCTCAGATCTTACGAACAACAGTATGTTTGTAACATTGGAGAGTTGACGGTAATATGAACGGTATTGAAGACAGTAATATAATCCTTCTGAATACTGAAATTGTTGTAACTGTGGGTGTTTTAATATTTATTTTTGGGGCTAACAGAATTTTGTATCACTGGGCTGGGAACTTTGGAAGCCATTTTGTAAGTTTGCGTTGTGCTATGTCACTTTAGATGCAGGATATTTTTTGCTGATATAAGTTACTGGGAATCCTGGCCTTGATGCCATGGTAATTCACTTTGTAGTTTAAATCAATATGTCTCTGTTACTTCAAAGAGTGAGATCAATAAACTTGCAGATATATAACAAGTGAACAGGGTTAAGTAATTTATTTATCTTTAGACTGCTGAGGAAGTGCAATTTTTCTATGTTACTATTGGAAAGGACAAGGAAGACCGAGGATTACGCAGCGGAGATCTATTGAAAAGGAAGCAAGATCACAGGGGAAAAGTTGGAAGGAAATAAAGGCACTCGCCAACAACCGAGTGAGGTGGAGGAGCTTTATATCAGCCCTATGTTCCCGAGAGGAATAAAAGGAATTAACTAACTAACTATTGGAAAGGAAGCAGATCAATGTAATTTTAAGTTCTGTACTGGTATTTACATAGAGTAATGTATAGAAATCGTAAGATGAAGGACCTTGTTATATGAACTGGGAAAGTGTAATACATTATAGGGTGATTTTGTCCAACTGTCTGTCTTCACGCCATATTTCACAAAGTAAATTATGACTTTTGATGACATGCACTAAAATGAGCTGGGACACAGTTCTCATTGCAGACAGTGATATTTTTCTTCTGCACGACATCAGAACAAGATCTGATACACGTCTTTTGAAGACATGGAGCTACTTCTTGAGGGAGGGGGGGGGGGGGGGAGATCTGAGTGTGAAGCTTATCACTCACTTGTACTGTAATGTAGTCTGGTAGAAGTTTACCAACGTGTGCTATCTCCATCATCAGGGTGAAACGTCGGTGGACTTCTACCAGACCACAAAGTGCTACAACCCAGAAGATGGCCGTTTTCATGCTCGCTGCCTTTAGAACCTCAGATCCTACTTATACTGAGGCAGGAACATTTTAACAAAGAAAGAACAGCAAAAACTGATAAGATGATAGAACAGGACTGAATGAGATCTCACCGTTATTATCACATGTTATGAATTATTGTTAAATGTGTAGAAACACATTTGAATTCAAAATGTCTTGGAAAAGACTTATGTTGTGGCACTCCAGTTGGCAAATGCTGCATTAAGTAGCCATAACTCAGCTGCCAACAGGGTGTAGCAAACAGGTTTCATCATAGTATTTAGTGTCTTCCATAGTTGTGTGAGACAATGATAGTTTATTTTGTTACTTCCCTTTTTCTAAATCCAGTCATTTCGTATGCACATATCTAAAATATCTTTAACTTCAGTATCAATCTTTCCTCAAACTCTCCCCATCACTTTCTGATGACCTTTCCTGTCCTTACTAGAATGTGCGTTGAAGTCGTCCAAAATAATAGCATGATGGTTCTTATCCTTTGGGAGTCCTTTCTGTACTTTATTTTGCTCCATTTGGTGGTCACTGAAACATTTACGTAAATTAGACTGGATGATTTTTTTGTTTTAGTATTATGGAAGTCTACATATTTTTTACAGCTGATTATATCGAGGGGGATGGGCAGTGTATGTAGCACACACTCTGGTACCAAGAAATATATTAATAGTTTTTCTTGTGGAATTGAAGGGAAATTACTACTATAGAAATATAATTGTATTAACAAAGTTAATGTTGGTTGGTTAGTTATGTTATATAAGCAGTGTTGTTCAGAAAAGATTAATTCTTTATAGGCCATAGTTAACTGTGTATACCACCTTTTAGGTTGGTATCTCTGCTTGTCACTTACACAGTGTATTTATGGGTTTTGGAGACATTTTCATAACTAATGAAGCATGTTTTCTTTTAGATAATTAATCACATTTTTAAGTACAATTGAGACGAGTTTTATCCTTTAAAGGGTTAAAGCTAATATTTATTACACGCAGCAAGGCCTCGAGTGATGTAAGGACTAATTTTTATAAATTGTTACAGAAGTTGAATTTTATGCATATTGGAAATTACCTTATATGCTTTATCATATTAGACATTTTGATGGTACTATGTAGATAGTAAAAATATTTTGGCTTAAGTGTGTGTCTAACATAGTGGTAGCTTGTAAATTAAATGTATGCGTGCAGTGAAAGGATTTTTTAACAGATGCAGAATAAATCGTTTAAAAATTACTTTTTGGGGTTTATATGCAAAATCATGTCTTGTAAGTCAATCTTGTATAACCCAGGAAGATCTGTGTTTCTCCAGTAGTCTTTGAAAATGTTGAAAATTCAAATTTAACTACTTATAGGTATTTTTTATGGTGAGTATGAGTGGCATGTTATGTTTGTATATAAATTAGGTTTCAAATTTAGTGTTTTAAAGACAGATCTTCTTGAACTTGTACCAGGTAATCAGCATAAGACAAAGTGGTTGGTGTCACTTACGAGCAAAGGTTGAGCTCATCTTGTTGCCAGCTGTTGTTTAATGTAAGAGTTAGTGTGGCCGGGGCAGTCGATCATTCTGCGGACATGCATAATGATGCTTGATCTCTGTTCTTCATGCGAGGGGTGTTTGATGCAGAGCCAAAGTCAGACAGCATCTGTTTCATACAATGTGCAGACTGATTTAGTGTGACACTGAGTTATATTGCAATGTGGTTGGTTTGTGTTACAGTGCTTGATCAGGGTGGACTGCGATATAAGTACTTTTCAAGATAAATTATATCATTTGAAAATAAGGGCTGTCTGTTCAGGAAGGTGGCAGTTGTACAGATTAATTTTATTTTGATACAGAATGTTAACATGCATTTGCACATTTCTGTTGTAACATAATTTTATAAAATTCACATACTTATTGTTAATAGGTCTAATAAACTTACGAGGCAAATTCATTTGTACTTATTGAAACGTAGCTAGTTTTGGTGGAATTTTGTGAGTGAAGAAATGAAAACTGATGGTATCCCAGTCTGTACAGTCATGGGAGAACTTGTGTGTTGTCTGCATCAGGTAAAGTTCTGTATAATTTCTTTACTCAGACTGAGTAAACAGTTTATGTGGAAAAGCAGTTTTTAAATTTTTTGTTGTTTTGTGCTAATTAAAATGTTTTCACAACTAAGTAATTAATTATGTTACCAACCAACTTCATGATATAGTGTTTTGCTGCATGTCGTATTCATCTTATCTTGATCAATTTGATCTACTTAATAATATTGAATGAAGAGTGTTGATGCTTCCTGAACCTGTTCCATGGATTTACCTTTCTGTTTTCAAAATATTGTGATTATATTTGTCTATATACAGATCATCCCCATATCTTTTTCCTGTAACTTACCTTCTGATGTTCTTTTGTATACAAGCTGCTGGAAATGGTTATGTATTGTTTTAAGTTATTGTGATTTGACTGTGTATTTCATGATATTTAGCTCATTTAAGTGTTATGATCCCGAGTGCATTTTGAATTGTTTATAGGAAGTCATGAAAACCATTTTTATGTTATGAAAGGACACAGTTTTTTCTGTAGAATCGTATTACTGAGCGATGTGTCTGCCCATCTGTCTTGACCCTTATTAAACTTCAGACAAATTATACACCCTGAGTTATAAATTTTTATGAAACTTAGGATGAACTCCATACCATTGCAGACCTCTTCGTCTCAGTACCTTCAACTCTCTGTCATCAGTAATACCAATATGGCGTCCATGCTAACTTATGATATGGTTAGTGTATGACTTTTATTTATCCTTTCCATGTTAATTTATGTTTAAGGAAGCATTCTTCTTCTTCTTCTTATGATGCAAGGTTGTTGGCCTTGCGACCAACCCCCAACCTGGAGGACCAGGGTACCTGTCTTAGTCTGACCTCTCCCCTTCGAATTCTTCTATTAGCATATGTTTATAATTATATGATTTATATTGTTGAAAAACCACAAATAGTTAGCTTTAAGTATTGAAAGGTTGTGAGACATATTTCTTTTTGTGATCTTAAATGCTAAATAAAATCCAGACCAGATAGAACTCTTCTGTGCATCATGGAAAAGATTACAGTATTTTCTTCGGAACAATGCAAATATTTTTTGTGATAATGAGCATTAGTACATCATTGTAACCTGACATCCTGCAAATACATTGGCTGTTGGTATGAGTGTATTGAAACCTTTTGAATGTTAAATTTCTGCTACTTTTGTGTGAAGACAAACAGTGTAAGAGAACATTGTTATTAATTGTTTGGTTTGTAATTTGCAGGAAGGGATGAAGGAGGAGGACCTCCCTCGAAGGTTGTGCCTTGTTTGCGGGGATGTTGCATCAGGCTTCCATTATGGGGTAGCTTCCTGTGAAGCATGCAAAGCATTTTTCAAGAGGACCATTCAGGGTAAAGTTGCATATTGCTGAACCTATGAAAATGTCTGTGCTGGAGTTACAGATACAATCAGTAGACGTAAAGGTCGAGATTTATCTTGGGAACTTCCTGAGACATTCTTCATTGATGAGATAAAAATATATAGGACATTTCATGGGGTGACTCTGTGTTCTGTAAATGAAAGGGTGCCTACTTTCTGATGTCCATTATATAGAATTGGTCCTTATCACCAGCCACTGGAACAGCCCAAAAGAGACTCAGAATACAAACAAGTGTTGGAACTAAAATTCAAGTTCTATATTCAAAGAATTGGTTGTTCAGATTTTTAATTAGATAATGAGTTTTAATATAGTTCTTTTAGGTTTGTGATTGTGGTCTAATATCATCTTGGCAGAACTCTCTTTGGAAGTTGTCCATTGACTGGGTAAAAATAAATACATGTGTTTTGGCAGTCTTGGATTTAGAGATACAAAATCCACAAGCTTTGTCAAGCTTCAGACATTCCATAAGTATAACCTATCTATAAATTTTAATAGCAATTATAAATATGAATGTTTTAAACATGCATGTGATTACCGATAAAGGTAGAATCTAAATATAATTATTTAACTAGCAGTAACAAACATTGGTAGTTACGAGTAAGAAACTTTGTCTTGTGATTTCTTTATTATTTTGTGCCACTTTAATGGAACATAAGAACAATTAAAATTGAAGTGTATACTGGTATGATTTGATGTGTGCCACTTTCCGTGAGGCGCTGTGTGCACTTTTAAACTCTCAGTCTAACCTTGATTTTGTCATCTTAACAGTACAAGGTATCTAAATAAGTAGAAAATTTTCTCACTGTACAAAGTGATGAATGGCCCAATTACCTCAAGTTTTTGAGGTTGAAATATTTTCTTGAACACTTTGGTTTAAAATGACTATATCAGAGAATGAGGCCATATACTCGAATGTTTAAATATTTTCAAATGACTTGTTACTTGTAGTTGTGTTATAACTGTGTCGTTAATCAGAATCACATTTCCTTAAAATGCCGGGGAAAATTCAAAACAATTTTACAGTTACCTTGTAACAAAAGATATTTGCTTGTTCTTTTATAAGCCTTATATACATAATATACACATCTGCTAACTACTCACATTGCCAGTGCCATGGTGTTTAAGAATCATGTTGGTTTGTTCTGAATAGGAAATATCGAATACACTTGTCCTGCATCAAATGATTGTGAAATTAACAAACGACGAAGAAAAGCTTGTCAGGCGTGCCGCTTCCAAAAGTGCCTGCGAATGGGCATGTTGAAGGAAGGTGTGCGGCTGGACAGGGTGAGAGGGGGTCGACAGAAATACAGACGCAATCCTGAGCTACCTTATCAAGTTCAACCCTTACCACCCATCAAACCAATCCCCACACTTGAAGGTAAGGTGTATTTGTATTTTGTGTAAAATGTGACAAATTTGTTCAGAATTTAAGAAGTCAGTAATATTTAGCTTTTGCCTGAAATTGTTCTTGCGGCTGATTTCTCCAGATATGACCTTTAAAAGTTCTGGCCTGTAGTCATTTCAGAACTGGTTACGACTTCATTTCTGAGGTGGACCACTGTTGATGCGGATTCATTTTCCAGCTATGTTTCTTTATTCATAATCCGTAAGACGCAACAAAACAATTTATTTCCAGCCATAGCATAATGGGGATTTGGTGCTATAATGGTAGAGTCTCTGTAACAGAAATTTCAGATTCAATCCTAGCCACAGCCAATAACGATTTTATGCATTTATCCTTTTTTTACCGGTGACAAAAGAATAATTTTATGAAAGTGTGAAATGCCAGGTACCCACAGAACTTTGGAGCCCTCATTAACTTTGATTTAAACCTCACTTAGTACAGTGCTGCCAGCCAGACTTTATCTCCAAGGGTTAATGGTTAGATGTATGAAAAAGGTCAAGCTTCCATCATCATCATCATCTTGTCATCAGGGGTTGTGTATTCTGCTCTGAATGTGGCCACACTTCAGAAATGGAGTGTTTACCGCTGTGTTTGTCAGTTTTTTTTGGGAACAGCAGTATTTTTCAGTTGCAAGTTGTTCAAGAGCAATGGCACAGTTATGGATCTTGACACAGGAACATATCTTTTCAGTAATTTTACTTGGCTTTTTTGTCTGGTAATCATATCATTGCTCTACTGTTGACAGAGAATAAGATGCTGGAGGCACTGTCATCATGTGAACCCGAAATTCTGCTTGCCTCCCATGATTCGAGTTTGTCGGATCCAGAGTATCATATCATGAGCACTCTGAGCGAGCTGTATGACAGGGAACTGGTGCTCATCATCAGTTGGGCCAAGCAGATTCCAGGTGTGTGCAGTGTTACCAGACTGTCTCAGTTTCAATCAGTAGAGATGAAGAACTTAAGGTGAAATCTTTATTATTTTAATGTGCTGTTGTACAAAATGCATGAAGTGAACTTACATAAGAGATGTAATTTCCATTTGTCTACATGTTGTAACTTTGAAACTGCTGATTGCATTTGGATAACATTTTGTGTTGGGGATCCGCAGTAAAATGTGCTAAGTGAATTTAATTTTGGTTTTTATTGTCCAGTGCAAGAAACGTTCAGTGGTGAGCTGTCAGTGTTCATGGATCTGGATGCATAATTTCAAAGTAAATCTTGTGCTGCTGGACCAGTAAAAGTGAATGGCTAACCAGCCACTTTCTGTGGGAAATTCCAGCTGAAACTTTCCGTACTAACCCGCAGGAGATCGACTGTCATGTTGCTTGAGAACTGCTGAATAAATGCCCATAACATTTTATACTGGGGAGTTTTATTACTATAGTCAGATTGCAGACAAATTGTTTATGTGCTCTTAATGTGGGTGTTTTTTGTTTTTTTTCTTCAGGATTCACTGACCTCTCTCTCAACGACCAAATGAGGCTTCTCCAGAGCACGTGGGCTGAAATTCTAACACTTACACTCACATACAGATCCTTGTCATGTACAGGAAAACTAAGGTTTGCTTCAGACTTCACATTGGATGAGAAACAGGCCCGAGAATGTGGCGCAATTGAGCTTTACCAACACGTAAGTGAAAGAGTGCCAAGAATTAGTGTTTAGATTTTATCATTAATTTCCATAGTGTTATCAGTTTTTGCCACACAGATGTTTTATCAGCACTGGACACAGAAGAAATAATATTTGGTGGGCCACAGGCTTAAAATTGATGATGATGATGATGATAGGATGAGCAGTGAAACTGGTGGAAAAAATAGGGCACTAGTTTTTAGGATTGGGGATATAAAGTGTGTCATGTAGAATGATAAATGCCTCAGCCTCCATAAAGACTGCACAAAAATAGTTATAGATCATGCAGTTCATACAGTGATGCTTTATTATCCATATTGGAAAATGAATGGATTGGCTTTTTGACTACCATTCTTCTTCCTCTTCTTCTTCTATGGCTCTCTGGTCCGTATTCGGTCCATGGCCTCCTCAATTCTCCTCTTCCATTCGGTCCTCTGTTAGGTCCGTCTGTCCGAGGCTTTGATTGAGGTCTCGAAACATCTTCCTTTTTACGGTGCAAGATTGTTAGCCTTGCGACCAACCCCCAACCTGGAGGACCAGGGTACCTGTCTTAGTCTGACCTCTCCCCCTCGACCAGTCTGGCTAGGGAGGCCCTACCAGTAACTATGCAACCGCCAGCGTAGCTCTTGGGGTCACTGAGATAATCAAGCCCCACCACCACGACAAGGTGCAGATACCATTAAGTGGGGGTTTTGACTGCCATTATATCTACTAATTTTGTATGAAAGTATCTTTATTAACAGTTTACTAGTCTGTATAATTGAGTAAGGAAAATCATGTTGCAGTGTATGCAGATAATTGAAAGGCTAGAGAGATTGAGCATCGCTAAGGAGGAGTACTACATTATGAAGGCTCTAGTTCTTGCAAATTCTGACGTGCGCATGGACGAGTTTGTATCACTCAAAAAGTTTCGGGACAGCATCCTTTCAGCACTCTCTGACTGTGTTGCAGTCATACGGTGAGTTTCATTTGTCCCTTATCGTGCAAATATTTCAATTCCCTGCACTTTCCAAGTGTCATTATTCTGGACTGCAGTGCATTGTTTAGCAGTTAAGAATGTCTTTATGTGAGATCTGAGTTTTAGATCTGTCCATGTCACCTCATTTCTCCCATTTGCAAGGACTTTTATTTTGTGATATGCCATGTGCATGTACCATCTTACTATTTCTTATGTTATTAATTAAATTTAATTCCTTTCATTGGATACGTGAAATTATTTAAAGATGTGAGAGTGTCACAGTGTGCTTACCATAGGTTAGCAGTCATAAGATCTGTTGTAAGCAAGCCGTTTATGTTTTCAGACCAAACACATCGACATACCATATGCACCATCTCCTGCTGTGCCTGCCATCTTTACGTCAAGCAGATCAGGTAATCAGACGATACTGGACGGGTATTCATCGTGAGGGCAAGGTACCCATGAACAAATTGTTTGTCGAGATGCTCGAGGCTTATTTCCGATAGGACAGGCTCACTCGGACATCAGACGAGGCTCAGTGTGGTTGGACATCAGGTCTGTATTGATCAGTATTATTGAGATGTGTCTGGATTTTGTGATATGAATCCATCCAAGTGACAGGATCTTCCAAAAGTATCTGTGGCTCACAGATGTGAATAACACTCGATGTTGAATCATGTAACTTTTGATGACTCATATTTTAAACTAAAAAGAATATATATCACATTTGTAGTACATAGTCATTGAATGCAAGAAGGTCTGATTTTAATTGAGTACACTTATTTGAGTCTGATGTGGAACAAATGATGTGTTCTAGTGATTGGCGTGTTTTATTTAAAGTAAAGTAATTTTAATTTTAAGGTGATGAACATTAGCTGATATGGAATGCAGTAACAATATAAATTAAATTTACCAACTTTTAGATCAACACGTATCACTTTGGAAGGGAATTGTTCTCTGTAAGAGGTGAGAAGTACCAGAAAGCTATATTAAAATTTTGTGTTTAATTAAATTCTTATCACATTTGTTATAATTTTCCGTATCTTTCATCACATAAATAAGATACAGAGTCAATGGATGTTTTTAATTGGTTGTTGACGTGAGTATACATGTAACCGTGTAAAGCAATCATTTTGTATCCAGTAAAATGTCTGTAGAAATTAGTGTGATTGGTTTTGACTATCTCTGTTCTTGAGAAGAAAATGTTATTGTCGGTAGCCATAGAGAATATTTGACAACAGAATAAAATACTGCCCCTCATACACATCTCAGAATACTGATCAAGCACATGCAGCTGTAGTGTTCAGTTTAAAATAATTGTAGACCAGAGGTTCTCAACCGGTAAACAATAGACTATGCACACATTTTTTGTGATGATGTGTTATTTTATATGATGAAAAAAAATTACCTGATTTCAGAAAAAGCTGTTTGATAATGCCTTAAGTAAAAGTAAAGTTTGTCCCACTATACGCCATGTAGGCGTTTGGGGTGAGTGGAGGTATAGCTCCTCTCTTCCTTGACCCTGGCACTAGATGGGGGTTAGTGGTCAGCATCACGCCCCGGCTGGCTTTACCCCCAGGAAAGGACCCCGGTACCCATTGTACATTCTGAGGTACACTAACTTATTGAGATTACCACAGTTTTATTTGAATAAGACTTACCAGAGAAGTGAAATGCCTTAATTATTTGGCAATAAGCAACTTTTCAGCTTAATCTTTATTGGAATAAATTATGAACAGTCCAGCGGGCCATGTGTTGCCATAGCATACCATTAAACCATTAATACCTGGTCCAAGTGGTAGTCCTATAATATGGGGATTTAAATCCTCAATTCTCTAACAGTGGAGGATGCTGAAGAATGTCGAGTCGTCTAGGATGTATCTTATTGATAAACACTTAGAGTGATGCATGTGTATCACAGTAATAAAGTCTTCTTTGGCAGTCAGCTGTGTGTGAATGGAGATAATATCCAGCATTTTGAAGACTTTCACAGCCTCCATCATAATGATGGAGGTTAAGACATTCTTTGAAATGGTGGATACTAACTCTTTACTCACATGGCTGATAAATAAATACAATGTCATATATTTCAGTAGTGACTAATTTTGTTGAGTAAAATTATTGTGTAATGTGTGAAACTGTTTTCATTAGGAAGTTAGTAAAGTTTGTAATAAATAGTTTCACTAAATTGTCTTCATTACTTAAGCTGGCAGCATGTAAGTTGATAAGAAGTGGTGGATCTTATCCCAGGTCTTTGAAGGTTGAGAACCTCTGTTTTGGACCATCATTTTGATTGGTCTACGTGTGTTGGAAGCAGTTTGTACTATTGGATGAATTGTCCATGATAATGGACTCAGGGGGGAAAAAGACTGAGTTCATGCAAGTCGAGATAGATCGGCTCTCAGCGAGGATATTTTTTGCATACAGGATTCAGTCATAAATGAACTGTTTTATCCATTTTCATTGCACTATCTGAAGGAAAGTTAAATTAGGACAAGTTGCATAAATGTATATATTTTTATACACAGGTTTAATTTTAATCTCACATGTAAACAAAATTATGACACCTGGAACATTGTATAAACTTCCTGAAAATATGTTCAGTATGAAGTTAGTGTTGAGTTTATTAAATATTTTGAATTACCTGTAATCTTAACTCGCAGAATTAATCTAATTTGATATTTACAATGTACTATGAATACTTGTGCAATTTATGTTCAACCAGAATTGAATCCTGAATGTGTCTCTCATGATTAACTCAGCTGATCTCAAAGACAAAGACAGCAGTTGGATAAGCATGTTGAATTATTAGGTGTATGGAATGTTTCATTCATGGTTGGGCTTCACTCGAATGTAAAAATATTTCCGTAGATGTCGGTGTCCCAGACAGGATAAAAGTGTTAACATTCTTATTTAAAGGTTTAGCGCCTGGAGAGAGTTCGTGGTGTCAGAAATGTCTACTTGTGGTTCTTCATGAATAAAACATTCTATATTGCTACGGAATGTTCCGAACGATATTTGACCCATATTCATAGGCAAGCCTCAGTGAAGTAGAGCCGGTACTGAGTCACCGCCACAGTGAGGCTTGGGTACAAATATGGCAGCGGAGGATTGATTGTCATTTGTTTAGGGGGTGAACATTGTTTTTTGTTGTAACCAGAAAAAGATATGGTTTATCATTGGTGTCGTAATAGGATAGTAACGAAACCTGATTCGTTTCTGTTACTGGTGTATCGAATCATCGTTTTAGAAGAGCTAGAAGAATTATTTTTTAAAATTTCTATGACTTAAAAGACTGATTGAGGATGATGTTTCAAGATAAAGGGCTTGAATGCAGCAGAGATTGAAACATATACCTCTGTTGTTTCTATAAGAAATTTAATTTCTGTTTTTAAGACTGTTTTAAGTTGTATATATTTATCTGAAGTTTTGTTTCCATATTATAATGATAAAGATGTGATAGCTTTTATTTGATTTGCAAAGTTAAGAACACTGTGTACTTGCAGTCAGTTGTTTAACTGTTTCAATGGATTCATGTGTTAATGGCCGCATGCTTTGTTTCACAAATTTGTTACATTTGTTACTACTGAAGAGTGTCTGGGCTTTTATATTTGCGTTGCCGAGTACTGAAAGGATGTTCCGTGATAGAAACAGTCTGAGATCATTGCTTATGCCAATTCTTGATGTGAAGTACTGAAATGTAATTTTTATTTTTAAAATATATTCTTAGTCACTTTTTTCAACTGCTGTGTAAATTTATTTTGAAATTTAAATTGGTTGTTACATCTGTAACATTAGCGTCACAATAAACTTATGAGGTAACGAAGCCATAACGAAGTCATACAGTTGTTTATAAATCCTCCTGGGATACAGAACATTGAAATAATTATTTCTGTCATTGTATACCATCTCAGCAGGATAACAGTATAATCTTTGCTCCATGTGGTGGATCAAAACAAAGCTGTACGTATCGTTGAGAAATCTGACGGAATTAATGTTAATTGAAGTGTTGTCGATTACGTTTGATTCTGGCAATGTCCAGTACGAACACTTCTGTGTTGATCGGAACTTTCAGACCGTGGCATTCACTTCTTAATGTGTTATTGTGAAGTGAATATGGTCATGGCAAATTTTTCCTTCGGAACTGCTGGTCTAGAGCGACAAAGAAATTTGCGACACTTTGTATATGTACAAATATTAGTGTTTGTATTAGATTTGATGTTCTCTTAGCGGTGAAATTTTGTAGTCTTCTGGGTTATGGTGATGGAGAAAGTATGTTCTTCAGAAATGTTGTTGTAATTTAACATTGCCTTATCAGACAGCAATATGAAGATGGTTATGAATAACGAGGGAGTAAATGGGAGTAATGTATTGTGAAGTACCTATTTACATGATCTAGGTGAGAGAAAAGTATATTTGACCCATTAATTCTGAGTGTAAATTATTTTGAAGGCAACAGCGTGGTATTATCTAGTTACATTTTTCCTTTGTTCATAGCTGTGGTCCTTGCGATATGTGTGCGCATATGCGTGCACATGAGAGTGCATGTGTGCATGCATGGATGGATGTGTATGTATTTCTCCCCTAAAAGTGTTAATAAATTTTATTATAATCACAACATTCAGCTGGAAGGCCGTGCTAGGAGGTCATCTACATATCATATTTTTAAATCACTACATTGAAAAACCTGAGCATGGTGACAGCAAAATTCTGAGGTGGGATAATAAAAACAATTGAGATAATGGAGCTGTCAAAATTATGCACTTTTTTAAATTTTAATAATAATATGATAGTTATGGATAATATTTTTCATTTGATTAGAAATACTGATGAACCATTTTAGTTAGGAACATGAAATTGAATGTAATGTGTAATTATAAAGATGTCTGAAAGAAAAGTTTTGTTTAAATTGGTAAGAGCATAGCTGTGTCGCAAAATCCTAGATGTTATGTTTTTTAGCATAAAAAGCAGTTTATCTAGTGTAACATATTCGTGACAAATTGTAAAATAAGCAATTGTATTTCCGGTTGAAAAATATCTCAGGAATTGGCATATGCAGTCAGAACATAAAATGTGGTCATTCAGTGCGAATTAACGTTATTCTGTAAATTAGAATATGTTAATGACTTGTAGTGTTTATAACTTTTTAACATAAAGTAATAGATAATGGCACAAGTGTAATTCCTTGTTTTTATGTGAGGTTTTAAAATGTAGAGCAATAACAAACTGTGTCATGCAAGTGAGGATGTCCGCAGGCATACAGGTACTGTATCGGTATCCAATACGACATGCCACGTCTGTGATATATCAACTTTGTGAGGAAACATTCTTCGCGTTTCTAGATCATACCACCGATTCTATAGTATTTCTAGGATATTGCTGTTATTTACTATGCTTATAGAGCCATAGTGCGTGACTTACGCATTGACAGTCTTTTAGTTTTCTTTATTGGTATTGTTTTCTGCAAGCCAATGAGCGTCAGACAGTGAACATGTTTAATTTGCTTTATAATTTCATAGAATTTCTCTCACACGTGAAGACAAGAAATTTGCCAGATATAAATACAGTACCTGATAGAGGTAACTGATAAGATGCGTGCAGTTACGTAGATCGTAGTTTAGGTTTCTGGAGCGTAATCTTTTGGTGAACTTTGTAAAAGCCATTAGGTTGGCACTTTGCTTTCAAATTCTTATTTAACGTTTTTGTTAATGGAGACCGCGTCTATGTTTTTAAGATAGATCTGGTTAGCAGTGGAAGTGGATACGTGTGAATCATATTAACGTGTATGTACCCAGAGAAAAGTTGCTATTGACATTTTACTGTTGCACGTAACTTAAAGTAATTAAGAGGTGTCAGAGTTGTACCATAAATGTTATCTCAATATTTTAGAAGAGGTTTTAAGGTAAAAATGACTGCTATGTTTATTTTTGTACATCACCCTCACTTTTTGGCAGATTTAAGGTGTGTGTGCGGATCCCTTATGTGCAAATCTGTTTCATGGTTTATTGCTACCTCTCTTATGGTTATTTCTCGATGTTTTTATATACTGCATATAAATCACTTTGCTGTGACATTGAATGTCGAAGGAAAATGTTATAATATCTTTGCTTGACGAAACTATAATTATATTTTGAATTGATGTAATCTGTGAAGTCTGTGCTTGAAAATTGTTGTGCGTTAAGGAAAGGACACTGTGGGGCTACAGCATTTTTTTTAAAAAAAAAAATTGGCCTGGTTTGCTCAACTTCCTGTGGATTTAGGCGACATTTGTACATTTTCCAGTGAAATTCAGTATTGCAGCGCTCTGGTTTACATATTTACATTTTTTTTTTTAGGAAAGTTATAAGATGCAGTTTACGTCACCTTTTATGAATATATCATATTCTGAAAATTTTGACATGAAACAGGTTTGAAACATATTCTCATATGTGTTAAAAAAAGATTTTTAGTGTTTTAGGACA